ATCAATTCAGGACAAAACAGATTTTTAAAATACTAAAAGAGTTAGTTTTCAAAAAAAAAAAGAGTGTATTTTTTAAATTCCTAAACATAAATAGGGTATTTTTCAAAAAACCCTAAAAATGGTGGTGAGATTTGAAAAATCATACTGAATTAAAGTAAGTGTCTCTTAAAGTAAACCAAAACAAATTCGAAACATTCTCAATTAAACCGTCTTTCTATTGGTTAGCTGAGGCTGAGATTAGACCAGATTAGTCCAGTTTGGTTAAAAAACCACTAATAACCGTTGTAGATTGGATCAGATTGCCAACCGGTTATATTGAAAAAGAAACACGGCAAAATTACTTTTTATAAATCCTATAAAAATTTATAATTAAAAAGCAATATAATAAAAACTTTACAAAAATGGATTAACCTAATCAATACTACAATTAGTAGTGTATCTCAAAATCACATTTTATGCAAAGGTATCTATGAGATCCATCTGGACTCTGGCGATTATGAGATATGCCGGCTAACAAATACAAAGAAAAGCTCAAGCAAAAATTTATTGAAATCCATGCCGTCAAAGTTAAATTTGAATCTACTAGTATGTTAATTTGTTTACAAAAATGCAATGAAAATGAAAATTGCGAGAATGTGTTTGCAATATCATTGTTTTTTTAAAGATGTTTCATGAGGAGAAAACGAAGAAGGAGGAGGTGGAAAAGATGGAGTGGGTTCGAGAGGCGGCCAAAAACATATGCATGCTCAATTTTAGGTCATTCAAAGTGACGGAGAAATGTCAATGGCACCAAAGATGTCTCAAGATAAAATTTATTTATGGGTTCAAAAGTTGAAGAACGAGAAGGCGATAATAGAAGAAGAGAAGATTGGGTTTTCGATAAAGGGACATATGAATGATGCACAAGAATGAGAGAAAGATTGGAAAAAACGCTGAAATTTTAGTTCTCGACCAAAAAATGTCTTTGCTTATTTATGTAGCTTGCCTTGTTGGTCGATAATTGAGTTTTCAATAATGTTTTAAAGTTTGTTAAGTTTATACATTATGG